GCCATTTAGTTAAATTTTACAAACTCCATAGCCTTTTAATTAAATTTTAGGTTAAAATGGTGTTTTAATAAAATGTCCACCAAAGTCTTGGTCATGCTCTAGCGAGGACTAGTGCATCAAATTAGTCTTGGTCATGCACTAGTAATTGTAAATCAAATTCTTAAAAAAAAAAAGCTATTAGAAGATTTGGGTGTCCAACCTATAATGAAAACTTATTATGTTTCTTAGTAAAAGGTAACTTGTTTCTCAAAGAGTTCTGGGGCACACCCAGTAGAGTAGTATGCTTTTGGCCAAGTGCTATTCCTGTGACAACAAAATGCTTATGAATGTAACTTTTGAAGATAATGAGTTGAACCCTTTTAGTGTCACCATCACGAAATTGTGACAATAATCTTCACCCATGTATTTCAATTTCCTTTCATCTTCACCAACATCCATCATGGCTTTAAGGTTTTTGAAATATCGAGCAGACAAAAAATCGATGAAGCTGTTGTTTGAGAGATCAAAGATTCTCAACTTTGGAAAGCAGTTGATTGTCTTGAAACAATCCTGTATAGAACCATAAAATTTATTGGAACGAAGAACCAAAACTCATAGCTCTGGAAGATTTCCCAACCAATATGGGAATCTATCATTTATCTTGTTGTTTTCAAGATATAGAACTTCGAGTTTTGAACAACTGAGCAAAGATCGTGGAACTGATCCTTCCAACCCATTGTCATTGATGTTAAGGGTCCTGTAATGATTTCCCTTAGCAAATGTTCTAGGAATTGAGCCATACAGCCTATTCTTCCAAAAATTCAACACATGAAGACTGCTAAAATGTCTCATGCACTCCGGAATTATACCACTTAACCTATTATTTGAAAGATCTAAAATTTTTACCATGCTCATATTACAGGTCATGTGAGGTATCTCCCCAGTCAATTCGTTATTTGACAGCAAAAATAATCTTAAGTAAGGTGGTGGAATTGGAATTGGTTCTTGGAGCAAGTTGGAATGAAGGTCTAGAAATTCCAAATTTTCCCATGGAAGTTGCTCTATGCTTGTCAGGTAGTTGTGGGAAAGATTTAACCAGTGCAAACTATCCTGACTAATGTTCCACATCCAGCTGGGAATTTGACCCTAGATTTATTTTCAGAAAGATCCAGCATAACGAGATGGTCTAGGCTTCTTAAGATACATGGGAATTCACTTATGTTGCAAGAGGATAACCCCAAAACATAAAGTTGTGGGAAGGATGAATTGGCTATGAATTTGGTACTCACAGATAAACTGTTATGAGAAAGATAAAGATACTTCAGGTTTTTAAGCTTTGAAAACGTGTGAAAATCTACACTGCCACTTATAATGTTTGAAGAAAGTGAAAGAAAACATAGATACACAGGTTCAAAAATTGAGGTTGGAATTGTGCCTTGCAATCTATTACAATCTAAATGAATTGACCTCCAATGAACGACTCGGAAACTCATCAATGTAGCCGCTTAATTCATTAAATTTGAGGTCCATGAACTTCAACAGTGGCAGACTGAATAACCAAGATGGCATAGTACCACTGAAAGAGTTACTACATAAATCAATAAATTCTAAACTTGGAGGCCCACTTACATGACAAGGAATCGGACCATCTAGTCCATTATTTGACAAATCTAATGAAGAAATTTGTTTTAGGTTGAAAAGAATATCAGGAATTGGACCAACCAATTGATGACTTGAGATATCTAATGAAGAATGTTGGCAAAAAAACTTGGAATATTACCAGTAAAAGATGCAACTCACGAAGCTTGTCAAGATGTGAAAGAGATGATGGAATGTGACCGTGAAAATCATTAAACGAGAAGTCCAAATGAGTAGGATGTGAAAGATTGCCAAATGATGCAGGAATTGATCCAACAAGATTGCAATTATGAAGAATTAAATGGTTCAAAGAGATGAGATTTCTGAATGAATTAGGTAATTCTCCAGGTAAACTCATGTCAAAGACGTACAAAAACTTAAGGGGGCTACTCCAGTTAACTTTGGAAAATTACCTGTCAAGTTATAGTTACTTGTCAAATTAAATATCTCGAGATTTGGCAATCAAAAGATGTGATCTGGGAAGCTCCCTTGCAATCTGCAATTTGGAGACTCAGAGAAATCAGAGATGAAGATAGATTCATCAGGGAACTGGGTACTATGCTGGACATGTCAACTGTATCAAGGGAAAGGTCTGTTAACATGGTCAGATTTTGTACTAGCCTCTTCAAAACAGGTGTTTCAATTCTCACGCGACTATTCTCATCCTCCGGCTAGTAAAAATTGTATGAGAGGTCAAGTAAAACCAATTTAGACAAATGGGAGATTTCAGATGGAATTTGACCATTAAAGTTTGAGCCGGAAAGATTAACGTGTGTCAAACTGGGAAACAAACCAAAATTAGAAGAAATTTGAGAGAGATGGAAATCATTGAAAGCTAGATTGAGCCTTTGACAATTGAGGAGGGAAAAAGAGGGTAATGTTGGAAAGGATGTTGTCAGAAAGCCAGGTACTGCTAAGGTCGAGGGCAATCACATGACCCGTCACTGAATCACATTTGACTTCATCCCAAAAGCAACAATCATCATCCTCTTTCCAAGACATCATTTTTGGATAAGAAGGATTTGTATAAAATTCACACCGCATTACAGAAGAAGTGTTTTTGAAGGAAAAGAGTTGCTTGAAGTGAAGTAATGCAGAACTCATTATAAGAGCAGAGTGTTGCACTAGTTTGAGAATGGAAGAGCAATGATTTGAGGAAGAGAAGTTGAAAAGACCCTGATAGATAACCCATATTTTCTGATGAAATCACAAGAACAGATATGATATAAATAGAAACGAATCCTGACAAAAATTGGCCCGTTCCCATCTAACTACATTTGACTCCAAAAATTAACGTGACAAAAGAATTCTACTCAGATCTAGCGTTAATCAATTCACAAGTGAATTAGCAAGCAGCAGTGGCACGGGACTGGCATATTAAGTTTACTCAGATAGAGATTTTTATCATCCAACTAACATGTGGCCTTAAGTGGAGAAAAACTAAGTGTGAAATTAATATATCAACAACTACCTACATTTAAGGAGAATTAACTGAAATTTAAAGATTGGTTATATCTATAATTACGATACTCAACTATCCTGGCTAACAATTTTTTACTGATTTCAGAGTTTCTCAACCTAAATATTAATTTTCCCACATTTAATTCACTGGGGGTCTGTTTGTTTTTTTATTTTGGATAAGATTTTGAGAATAATATTGTGCAGTTGAATAGGGAGTATTACGAGGTAAAATTTAAAAATTTATAAAAAAAAACCCCCTAGGTTTGCTAATTTAACTAAACACCCTAATATATAAATTTTTTGTAAAATGACAAAAACACCCCCACCCACCCACAATGCCAGATTCTGTCCACCACCGCCGGAAAATGGTGTTACAACACAGACCGATCGGATCTGACGGGTAGGACGTCGATATGGCCTTTTCGGGCCAGATCCACTACGGATCCAGATCTACGGCCAGATCTGGTTGTCGACAGCCACAAAAGTCCAGATATGGCTGTCGTTGACCGTCAACGACAGCAAGATCGGTGAATTATCAGCCAGTTCCGATCGTTTGTAGGCCGTTGTGACAGATTCTAGCTACCACCGACTGTGGTTGCCGAAATCTTGCAAGTATGGGTGGGTGGGGGTGTTTTTATTAATTTTCAAACTTTTTTTTGAGGGTATTTAATGAAATTAATAAACTTAAGGGATTTAAAAATAATTAAAAAAATATACTAATATTTCTCAAATAACAAAACAAACAAGTATTTTGGGAATAGGATTAGGAATATGGGTAGAAATAATAAGTCAAACGGAGCCTAGAACATTAGTATGCAGGACATAACTTATTTTGCTCGGAAAGATTCTAAATCCTACCCACATGGGGCCTTGAATTGAATAAGATAAGGATTAAGGGACGTGGAAATTGATTTAGGATTGTGATATATGCTAGGATGATAAGATTTATTGATATCATTCACAATTTCTTATGCTTCAGAATGGATTTGTGCATTAATTATGAAATAGTTAAATATTGCTTTCTGTCACATTCAATGAGGAGGACTGCAATAATTTACTACCAAGTCCCGGTCTTTCTTTAATTCCAAGAAATACCAGTGAGAATTTTCTACATTGCATGTCACACATATTCTTATTAGATTACAAGTTTTGCAAAGATTATTATTGAACTTTCCCAACAGATACAGAAGGAATAATACTACATATATTTTTTATGACGCATGAGTTTGTACATGAAGAGTCAGTGTACAGACTACAGAGTTTGTATACATAGTTATCACTCTTATAAAATATATAGAAGTAATGTTCTGAAAACCGGAAAGTTACAGAGTTTGTATACAGATACAGTGGCCTGGAATGGATGAAATAACAGCAACGATGAGATAACTGTTGGTTTTTAGAGCTGGAGAATAGTAAGGAAAGAGGGCCAAAACAGACGTGAGAGAGAGAAAATCTGAACTGAAATTTTGCTCAGTTTTGCATTAAAAAAACAGGGGTAATTTATACACAAAGTCAGTCCACTTATCACCCAATGCAGTAGATATTTTACAAGTTTGAATTTAAACTAAACACATACAACTAATACAAGTACAAGCATTTCAAAGACATTCCTTAATCAAAGCTGAATTCACCTAAACACATTACTAATGAACATCACAAAAGTCTTTCAAACAGTGACCAAAAAACTGCAGCTTCACGCACAGCACCATTTCAAACCGTGGCGCCAAAATCTTGCATCTCCCACCGTCTGTTGACTTCATCATTTCCAGCATATCATCATCTTCAACAATAACAATAAGTTGTTTCTAATCCCTATTTAATAAATTGCTCTACAACAAATTCTTTTTCTGCCAAATGAAATTACAAAACATCATCTTCATCTTCATACAAGCAATCATTCAATTCAAAGAACTCCAGTCACTTTAGTCTTCAATAAGTTGTTTTGCTTGAACAAGAGTCCCTCTAAACCTCTCTACATTAATCTTCAAATTCTGTTCATCAATATACACAGCCCTGCCAGCTTGGTAACCCTTGGCAAATATAGATTGAGGATCAGTAACAACTACATGATCTTTCCCATAAGTCTGAAAAAGAGTGCTTTCTTCTGGTTCAATCTTGTACTCCAAGTATTTCACACCCATTTCTCTTGCTGGTTCACCAAAGTAGTTAGTTGAAGCCCAGTCCAACCCAAGTGGCACCACCTGCACGGCGACCGCACCCACTGGTAAAAACACTTCATTTGTCATGCCAGCACCATGAGCTCCCACCAGGACACTACATGAGTTCAGTAGCTCAGAAAACTTGTTCAAATTTGACATCCTGTTAGGCCTTGTCACCACAACTTCAAATCCCAATTCCTCCATCATAACTACCATTTCATCTTCATTTACAAACCTTCTTGTCTTTGCCCTGGATATCAAAATCAGAACTGGCTTTTCTCTCTTTATTTCAAAAACATTTCTGTGTTTCAGATTGTATGTTTGTGCTAGAAAGTGCTTGAAGTCAAACATTGAGTACCCGCCTGGAATATCAGTTCTATTAAGGGCTAAAAGGCCATGGAATTTGAGGCCTATCACAGCTCCAGGAAAGCAATGAACACTACCATTTACTGCTGGATTTATGAACTCATACCGCGACAAACGGCTTAAAATTCTGCTGTATTTGTTCACCCACCAGGCCTTATAATCGGTGATGACAAACTTTAGGTTGGATCGAAAATGGCGCGAAGTGATGAACAAAGGAATGATAAGTTCATCCATTTCATGAAACAAGTTTCCTGTATAGCCTCCAGAGGAGAAAACTAAAACTGGGACATTGTGATTAAAATCACAAGCAGGTAAATTAGTTTCTTCATTGACTATCTGCATTGATGTAACAAGGTGCAATGGATTTGTAGTTGGATATGGCTTGATATTCTTTCGGCTAATTTGAGATTGCGAAGAGGGAATGTAAACTGTCAAGTTCTTGTTGTCAATCCGAACTTCTTTGTTTGCAATACATAATTCAGAGTAAAGGTCAGAGTGGCAAGCAAATCCTGTTGTATCAAGCTGAATCCGGTCGTCGCCTGTATGCAGATTCAAACACTTAGCCAAAGAAAAAAACATTTCAGTCAGATGAAGAAATGAAGTACCTCTAACAAGTCTTCTTAATGGAAAATCCAAAGAGTAATTTGCTAAAATGGCTTCATGATCAGACATTTTGCTGCTGAGACTACTTCCAAAACCTGGTAGCTTCCCTTCACAAATTAAATGACTCTAAAATCAGCCATTAGTTAACAAACAATATGCTCAGCAATGAAAATGAATGAAACACTTACAGGCCTCAAAAGGGGTAACATCTGAAGAGAAAACTGAAGCATAAAGCCAAGCAAGAAGAAGAAGGAAAGCCATTGAAGAGCTTGCACAAAGCACAAACCTATTTTGCTCCTTACCCATTATTGATTGATGTAAAACTAATCCAAATTAATCAACTTTGGTAGCGTTTATTAAGCAAGATTAAATTGATTAGCTCTTGTTTGCGTGAACATTTGTAAATTATTCTTTAAAATTTATTCAAGATTTTGACATGGACATCCCAGCTGTATTGATGAAGTCATTTTCTGGTGAGTTTTCATGAGAAATCATTTGTATGAATTATTTATCTCTTTTTGGTTGTTGGGATTTGATTCTTAATTGCTTAACAATTCAATTCAAACTTATTCAGCAGCCTTCTTCTACAGCTTCATCTGCCTTCTGCCGGCCTTACTATAAGCTGTTTGAGACTTCTTTTATTTGGACTTTATTTTGCCCATATGACCTTATAGTATTATTTGATTATATTATTTGGCTGTTAAGGAGTCAAAACACAACCTTTTCTTTATGTTCATTTATGTAGAGACAGTAGTTGGTTTTTGGCTTTTACATAATAATAATAATATGAATACTTGATTTGAGGAGCCAATCAATGATATTTTTTTGTAAAATGAAATGAACAAATTGAATTTTATATTTTTAAAAGATTTCAAACGCTAATTTATGACATATTTTAAAATTTCTCATTAATTTTTTAATTATAATTTTTTTTTTTTTTTTTTTTTGGTCAATGATATTTTTTAATAGATCACCCATCAATACTGGCTTCTCCGAGATAGACTTACAGCCCATTACTGAATGACTAGAGGACCTGCAAACCAATATAAAAGGCTCATTGGGGCCAATTCAAATGACTTGGGCTCACATGAGACTTGTACTTATCCATATTTTTAATTAACTCTAAAAATATATAAGAAAGAATTGAGTCAAAACGACGGTATAAACAACGATAAATACTCTTAAGTTAGATAGAAGACAAACCAGTGAAAGGCATTGACAGACATCAGAAAATGGCAAGCTTTTCAAAGGAAAAGAAATTAAGAAAGAAATAAGTGATGTAATGGGTGGCCACATATGTTAAAGCAGAAACAAGAACCAATCTGTTGTTTAGGTTGGGGGTTAAAATGGTGGTCTCTATATGAAAATGCCACAAGAATATTGATGGGACAATAATTAAAAAGCAAGATAAGGATCACTGTATTCTGTAAATGCAAGCTTGCAGGGCCTCATGGACCCCCACAAGCACAAGCCGTAAGACACAAATTGGAATTTTCTAACTTCAAAGAAAGAATGTGCTATTTGTATGCAGTCAATTACCACCATACATAGAAATGAGAAAAAGGGTATCAACTTTTTGTCAACAAAAGAAAAAGAAGAAAAGAGGACAAAATCTAAGATAAACCTGTATCTGCAACAAGCACAATGTATGCAACTATTCCAAGCACACCAACAAGACTAGTTGATGCAAATACTACTTTCCAGCACATCACTGAAACTAGCTGATGGCAAAACCTTTGAAGGAGATAATTTTATTAGCATAGTGATGTCTAGTATAACCGGAGTGGTTAGTAAAAATTCTGTTAGGTGAAAGCTCTGTTGATACAATGTATATAAGTTACCATCAATGATAAATAAGCCAAAACTTAAAAGAAAAGGGAGGAGGCAAAGAATCATAGGATAAAATGCCAGCTAGATATCAAGATTTAATACTCCAAATTTAGTGTCAAGCATAGATATGTTGCTTGTGAGAGATTTATGTGTGTGTTCAATGTATCTTCTACTGTTCTTATAATAGACAGAGAATATGGTATCTTAACAAGCCAAAAGTTCTGTTTTTTTCTTTTAATAACTAAGGTACTAGGCACAAGCACTAGTCGAGCTTGTCTAATTTTCAAGGTCATTAAACATCTTATAAACCTAATGAACTAAAGTAATTACACAAATGTAATAAATGTCTCTCCTGCTACTCGAACACAAAACCTCTGAGTATAACTAACCCTAGTGACTAAAGAGCTTGTTATTCGGCCATAAGGAGAGAGGTCCAAAAGTTCCTTTGTCTTCAATAATTCTCCTGATACTTTTATGAAAAGCAGAATCTAAGCATATTCGTTTCTCTATTTCTTTTTTGGTTTATATATTTCTTTTTTCTCAGTACCTGCATTTTATTGTCTAAAATAATTAACTTCATTAATTACCTTCTTCTTCTTGTTCATCAGCAAGCTCCCTCTCAAGTTTTTGGCAGTGTTAAATGAATCATGATACCTAAATATGCTGATCATCAGTGCCTTTCTTCTTCCAGATAATGAAGAATCAAAACTGACCTGGCTCCATGCAAAAATGGAATGTTGTAAACTATCCTTATCAAACCGGTCTATCAGCTTAATAAAAGCAGCAGGATGAACCAGACAACCAATCCCATATAAGGATCGAATACTGATATCTAGCTGGCTACCATTTTCTAGCTTATAACCAATGAAAAGTTATTCTTCTGTCAATGTTTACTTGTGTAATTACGTATCATTTTGTGGTCATACAATCAAGATCCATCAGTTACTGTTCTTGTGACATTTTTGACAATTTCAGCTCCCAATATTTGTGGCATTTATATAGAAAATGTCAGCAAGATTGTTCTATTATGTAACTATTAGCCATGCGTACTGCATAGATAGAACAGGTGTAAAACTGCCAGGCAAGAGTAAATTGAAGATGATGATATATAATGAGGCAGAAAACTATAAAGATATAATATGTATATTCATAGAGAAACTGAGATACAAGAAGCAGCTCTACAACGGTTCTTGTTTTTCATGACACCCCATATCAAATTAAGTATATTGTATGAAGTGTCTTAATTACTAGCTGCTACAAAAGCAGTAATATAAGAGAAAATCAAACAACCATAACATGATTATCTCTCTACAATATTAATAATTAAACCCCAATAAAGGGAAGAATCATGAATGAAATTGTATGATCATTCCCCTCTCTCTAGCTGCCAATAACTTAATTAACCCCAGAACCAATGATGTCCCAGACTGACTTTAATTACTGTTTATCTCATTTGATTGATAAACTGACTAAATTTTAAAAGGCTTTCTGATAGAACCCATGAATCCTCTTCCATGACTCTTCTCTTTGCATCTTCAACTGCTTGTGAAAGTTGCCTATAAAATTCTCAGCTTTATTATACAACTCTTGCCCACTGAGCCCACCACCAGCTTCCTCTTCTTCTTCTTCATAAAACTTCTCATAACCCACCTGCTCTTCTGCTTGATGATCAGTCTCCCCATTTCCAATGAAGAAAAGACTCGGAGTAGAGGGACATTTCCTCACCCTTTCGACCTTAACCCCTCTTGGGATTTTCTCAGAAGCAGATTTCTCAACAACTCTACCCTTCTTTTCCTTACCCTCAGAATTATTATTATGAGAAGAAGCCTCTGGAGTTGTTACCACAACTCCAGACTTTGATGCAACAGTAATTGCAGGTTTTTTATCTTCTAATGGAGGCTTAGAGAAGAACACAGAGAGAAGACCGGCCTCAGCTCCAAGAGCTACAATGAGAAGATTGGTGATGATGTAGAGGTAAGTAGGCCTCAAAGAGGAAGACAAGAGAGGAGTAATGAAGAGAAGTGCAGCCAAGAGAGACAGCATCAGGATTTGAGACTTGTTGAACTTGTGGTTCATCATGGTGGAGCTTGAATTGAGCTTAAAGAAATGGTGATATTTGGAGAGATTGAGGAGAGAATTTGTGGTAGTAAAGATCAAGTGTAGGGTCGTGGGAACATTTATAGAGGAGAACAATGAATTAAAATAGTTTTTTTAATTATTATTATTAAGGAAGATAATTATATAACGGCTGCATGGATAATGATAATATAAAATTTATTATATTTTTAGTCAAAAAAAAGGAAAAGAGAAAGTAGAAAAGAAATTATCATAGGAATATGACAAGAGTATGAAAAGTTTTGGTGTCATGAGAGGTGCCTTAATCATATTTTAATAATGATCGCGACACTAACAAATATTATTAATGATAATGACATAATTATTTTAATTAATTAACTTCATTAATAGACTATTACAAGTTGATTCACCATAGAAATGAACACTATAGTGTTAATATTTTATTTCCTACTCTGATACCATTTGTTATGGACCTAGAGTATCAACACAACGGAATGACCCGTGTCGTACCCCAACATCACACTTGTGAGGGGTTAAGCCTACACATATATACGTCATTCATTAGCTCGAGGTCTATTGGTTTTGTCCTGTCATGGACTCATCAGGGAAGCGACTCTAACTCTCAACCAATTTGTGCAAGGATGGCTTAATCCCTTCTTCATCGTCAACTATAAAAAATGACACATAACTGCTCTTATACTCCCCTTTCACGAAGCACCTCCTCTTAAAGAATCTTATGAAGCATTGTCTCAACTGTCACACCCCATGTGAATGTTTTGCGAAACCCTTCAACATCGTATACTCTCTACACTTGTTACTCTTGTCACAATGTTAGTATGTTACGGAATAAGGTCTTGATGTTTTTCGTTTAACTATATAATAATTACTGTTAAAAAACAAAAAGAAAAAAAAAGAAAAAAGTAAATTTTTCAAAACTAATTTTATACATTATCACACATCCTCAAATAACTAGCTGGACATATCCTCTAGTCAGCATTACAGATTAAAGCCCTGTCACTTTAATCAAAATTAATCTTAATTAATTAATTTAATTAGAAAAGTAAACGTAAAATTAAGTAAAGAGACAAGAGAACATGCAAGAATGAGAAGATATAAATATGATTGGGCAAAGGTCGATAAGGTCGGTGAAAGCATTATTCGTTTTCACTTTTTATGATTTTGTTTTCTTGTTTTCGTGTTTTTGTTTCCAATATTTTTTAAAGGCACCTCTTGCCCTATTCAGAACCCAATCAATTAATCGTGTGGGTTCCGGCGCTAAGCTGTCAGAAAATGATTGGGCCCCATCATAGTACCTAGGAGTGGGCCCATCGGCCTTTTAATAGAATCTTTGGTTCTTCGATCGGGCCCACTTAGTCCCACTTGTAGTAATGGTTTTGTGGTCCCCCCTACTGCTTTTCCTGGCCCACTTTTGAGTCTTAATGGGCATTGAATGGGCCTATTATTATCCCTTTGGTATTTTATGGCGATCCTTAATATGCCCACTAAAGTAAAATAAAAATCGGAAGAGCGGTTTAAAAAAAAAAAAAAAAAAAAAGCAGCAAAACGAACTTATAATATCATCTGTATATTATCTATATGAATTTTATAAAATTATAATATTCTTTTCTTTTGTAATTATATATATAAGATAATTGACGTGAAAATGTGATGTATTTAGATAATTCATATCATTAAAAGCCTAAATCCGACTAGGAGAAAAGTGAGCAAATAAATAATATAAGTTTAAATATGAGTCTTCCTACAAGACAATTATATTCATATATAGAATTATATTGGATAAACATAAGAAAGATATAGTATATCTATGTTATCCAACACTTTTTCATGAATACTTTGACTTGTGTCAAAAGTAATTTCTAGATCTTAAGAGTATTTCGCTTAAAGGGATTCATTCATGTATCTTAGGTATTATTTCACAAAGAAAGAAAGAAAGAGAGAAAGAAAGGAAAAAGGGTAATCTCATATTGCTTTTCTTTTCATATTCCTAGGAGATTATTGATTAAAAGTGGATCAAGAAAGTGGAAAAAATATATATAGGCAATAAGCCTCTTTACCCCTTTCCAAATTGCAAATATTATCAAAACCCTTTTGGCCATTTTTTGCTTTGAGTTTATCCATATTGTCCCAAAAAGCAACCTCTCCCACTTTAATTAATTTAGAAATAGATTAACATTATTTTGAGTCAAATATGGTGACAATGCACACCGGCCCATTTGGGTCCCAATTAGATGTCATACTTTATAATGGAGACGAAATCAACAGGAAGAAGAAGACGAAGAACAAGACTTGATACATTAGCCAAGAGATTCCTCTAATCTTTCTCAACCAAATCTTTTTCCATTTCAGCAAGTTATTTATCTTTATCTTTATGGATATTGGCTATCCTTTCTTTTCTACCTAGATTATTCACTATTATCATCTCTTCCTCAATATAGCAAACATATAATAAAAGAAGGTTAACATATGATATGCACTAATCTTCCTCGTCAACCTTATCCATAAATTGTCATCCATCATTGTGACAAGTAACATTACCTCACCTATAATGAATCCTGAATCTCTTATCCATAAATTGTCATCCATCATTGTGACAAGTAACATTACCTCACCTATAATGAATCATGAATCTCACACATACGAAGATGCCTCTGTCATATTAGGCCCACAACAATCCTCAATCCGCAAACAACATCTCGAAATTTAGGTTTATTTAAGGTAATCAAGATGTCAATACAAGACACCTCACAATTAGATTTCACTTCACCTATACGAAATGATCTTCTTTCAACATTGCAACACAAATTTGGCTTACTTACCCACAAAACAAAGTTAGCGAAGTTGCTTGTGATGTTAAGCAAGCTTTGAATTGGTAATTTTTGGCATGGCATCACTACTTCACTCCATTCGCCAAACAGAGAACCTTTCATTTACACTTGAGACAAACTGAATACAAGAAATCTATCAGTAAAACTTCATACTCAAATGGGAAGTTCTTTGAGATAACTATAGACTTAGATTACATAGAGAAACTAGGTAATGATTAATGATACTTTGATTATTAATCTAGAAAGAGCTTTCAGATGCATTCTTAATGTAGAACGGAAAAAAAAAAAAAAATGAGACAAAGAACAATCACAAGTACAAGCAATGGTTAAATATATTATTTACTGAAGTATCCTGACTTCTGATGAATATCACAGGCAATTTACATTAGCAACAGCCCTCCAGGAACGTGGATATTCTCGATTTAGTTTGCTGCGTTACATGAGCAGGAAAGCTTGCAACAACATCAAATGTAGTACATGTTAATTAATGATTACAGTTGTTAAAGAATTGCTCTTGACTACACATCTACATCATCCCTTCTAAGTTCTCATTAGGTATGCTACTAAACATCCCAGAATAGCACCACCAGCAACCTGCAGCAACATTAATGAAACAAAAAGTTACAATTAGTCAAGAACAGGGACTGGTGATCAAAAGTTGCATGAGATGAAGTGATCATTCTCAAAGTCATTTGATCGTAAATTGCGTAAGCAATAGCTTTAAATTGCTAATTGAGAGTGATAGGAACCCACTCCCACAACTCAAGCAATTGGGCTAAGCTATGAGTCTTTCATAGGCTTAGGTAAAACTCTCATTAGAAAACCGGTTTGCCAAGGGAGAGTGTCCAAGCCCTTTATAACCCACATACCCACCGTCTTTCTTTCTAATGTGGGATCCTGACACACCACCACGCTTCCGCAGCCGACGTCTCCGTCGGCCTCTTTACCCCTTGGGTGACTACGCAGATCCTTTTTCCCTCGGGCCTCCATGCCTTTTCTCGGGGTAGCAGCCCGAGCCCAAGGTCAACCTGCCACGTAAGCGACGTCCCATGGACGCAGGATCATGCTTTGATACCAATTGATAGGAACTCAGTCCAACAACTCAAACAATTGGGCTAAACCATGGATCTTTCATGGGCTTGGGTAAAACTCTCCTTGGAAAACCGGCTTGCCAAGGGAGGGTGCCCAAGCCCTTTATAACCCACATCACACATGCCCACCCTCTTCCTTTCCAATGTGAGATCCTAACACAGAGTATGGCAAGTGAATATAGCATGATTTCAGTTGTATGAAAGCATACAAAGTAAGAAAATGTCACAGACCTGAACTGGAGTATGACCAAGCGAATCTCGTAGAGGTCTAACACTGGAGACAGGGTGTTCAGGAGGTAACTCGCATACAATTTGATTTAGTAACTGCAATAAATAAAATATACGATAAAACTATTGTAGTAATTATGGGAAATAAAGCTTAGATACAAAACTAATACAGCACCATCACACATATCATAAAAAGAACCCGAGGATATAGAGGTAACAAAAGCCATGACAGGCATTTCTGTTCTTTTATTTCTTCCTTTATTTCGCTAGGAAACTTCTATCAGGGTTTAGGGGAACCGAATTATTAATATGTATGGTTCAAGAAATGAAATTACATTAGAGCAATGAGCTTACTTCAGCTTGACGACCAGCATGAAGCCGTACACCAGAAGCATCAAACATTACCTACAAGAGACCACGAAATATTATCAATCCCCATAGCTTTCCAACGCAAATAAGCACAAAGACTAAAATGAGAAGTGGGTTACTAGAAATGACAATAATTACCCAGGTGCTTTATCTAACCAGCAAAATAAATTGTCTTTAGCATAAATTATTTGAACGAGTGAAAATGATAGGAAACTGAGAGCACGGATATTTTCTGAATTAACCTGTTCAACAAGAGAATTTATTTGAACCCAAAACACACAAATGAAATCAGAACTTTCTATCTACCTGCTCCAACTAGCGGCTAACTATGGCTTTTTATAAACTAAGTTAAAACTATTATGATACAATATGGAGTTTTGACAATCATAGATGGCATTTCAATGATACAAAAAACAATGTAATCCCCCAAAAAACTAAATGTATCAATGCCATGAAAATGATTCTATATGTTCCATACTTGGCTAAAATATTAAATGAGAAGTAAAATGTTCATAAGACCAAATAGAGATGAAACATATGTGATGAGAAGTCAACTATGATCTCCAATTGAACCAAACTACAATTTAACTCTAGCAGAAATACAATATTAGCTTACTTTTAGCACTTTGTTTATAATTAATTCATTAAAGTAAATATTAATATGCATACAATCACAAAACAATGAACAAGACCTGGTTTATAAGTACGTACTATAAATGCCAAAACCACAGCAACAGCAAATGCTGATCCTCCACTCCCTTCTTGAAAACCTATAGCAACAGCAAGAGCACTCACAGTTGCTGAATGGGATGACGGCATTCCACCTGATCTAACCAATCTTCTCGGGTCCCATCTCTTCTCCTTGTACCTGCTCGTCTAGGAGGATACATTAAGAACTAATCACAGATAATTCATGGTTATAAAAAGAAACAAGGGACTAAAACAAAATGAATTTCCTTCACATTGGAGCCATCCACTTCAAAGTCAAATCTTGAAAGCTATCCACTTATATATAACATATTAATGCAATGCAACTATTTGAAGAACTATATTCAGTTATTCACCATAACAGAATATACAAAAAAAAAAAAAAAAAAAAAAACCAAAAATGAAACACACCCTGTGTGTAAAGCTTTCAAATTCAAATAATTTTCCCCCCACATCAATTCATTGAAATTTACCACAGAGTTCATAATTCAAAAGGACCTTTCTTGTAGTCACACTCAAGTGGCTGTTCAAATCGCAATTGTAAACATGACATACATAAGGTTCAAAATCAATCAAAAAACATAAACACTACCACCCAACACACACACGCACCTCAAAAAAAAAAAAAAAATTCCCAAAAACCATTAATTAGCATACCAAAACAAAACTAGTCACACAGAGCTTGAGAGCTACACATACAATTACGTGCATACTCCCATAAGAAATCCTTAGTAGACAAAATTTGGAGACTCTTTTTCCTCTTTTTATAACCATAAATTCTCCTTAGCCAGCCTATCTCCCATGACTTCGGATTCCACACCTTAAGAGTCAAACTCGTACTAAATATACAGACCCCCACACATAAATACCATTTAATTTTTAGGATTTGCCTGACACAAATAGAACTTAACCAAAGTCTGCATTTGTTTACAGTTCACCATGTATGCGTTCAGGAAAGTTATAGTTAATTCCAGCACAATTCCTATCATAAACAGCTTTCAGCTACAATAATGTCATATTGTAACATGTAAAATCATATATTTAGGAATATCAACTCCCAATAACACAATACCATTGGAAAAAAAAAAAAAAAAAAAAAAAAAAAAAAAAAAAACCAATTCCAAGGGAAAAATCCTTCCCTGCGTTTTCTGCCCAAACAAAGAGTAAAGAAGGAAAGCAGGAACAAAATACATACCAGGTGGTGAAGAGCTTGAGAACTGGGCGAGAGAAAGCGAGAAAAGCGGACAGTAAAGGGACGTTTGAGGGGATTGACGGCTGTAATGAGCCCAATCCATCGCTTGACGACCCGTCAATCGTTGTGAACCCTTCATCCATTGAAATCCAGAGCCAAAATGCGCCAACACGAATCAGGAAACGAAACAAAAACATATTAGTTTTCGTGTCGGGGTAAGGACTTGTTTGGTTTATGCTTACATTGAACTAATCTTTAAAAAGTGTTTCTTATAACGAAATAAGTGTTTATTATAGGTAAAGCCAAGATAGCGTGATACCCAACTGGGATTTAGATTCGTGACGTATATGTTTTATTTTATTTTTTGTTTTTTCATTAAAAGATTATGGTAAAGTTAAATTTTTTATAATTTATTAGTAGTGGTTTCAAATCAAACATGACATTATTGAACATCTTTTTCTTTTTTTAAACCAGGCATGGGTCAGTTTTACGCATATCTGACTAATTTTTTAGAAAAATTAACTCAATAACCTAACACCACGGCCTTGTGATAATAGCTGGTAATTAGTAGGTCAAAATACAATTTTAATGTTTTTTGAACTTATGTTCTAAAAAATAGAATTTTTGGACTGTTATGTTTTAAAAGAGTAATTGAATTCTTGGACTATATGCTATAAAGCAATTAAATTACTTTGGTTACTGCAAGAATGAATTAAGGGAAACGGACAAATTTTCAAGTATAAAAAGAGGTGTGTTTTCCATTGAGATATACAATTGCACTTGAAAGAATCCTTATTTCTTCTGTTTTTATTAACTTTCCTTTGTCACTATTACATTCCTTAATGTTCTAAACCTCTGTTAGAGTGTGCACTCTAAAAGAAGGTTCATCATTGTATCCTGAGGTCAATCTCTGTTGAGCCTTTTTGCACCACTAAGATTTTTCCAGTAGAGACGAAATTCTAATCTTAAGGACAGTGCTTTTGCACACCTTGACGTTGTTGTTTTGCTGTGGTTTCCTGCTTTTCTTTTGTTGTTTTGTTGTTGTTCTTCCACTGTTTTGCTGCTGAATTTTTCTTGCTGTTTTTCTGTTAATTTATAATAAATTTTCAATACCCCTCATATGGGAAATCGAACATGAGATCATGCGTCTATTCGTATTATCTTCAATTCGCCTTAACCATCTAGGCTATCCACATGGGTTTAACCAACATCAATCACAAGTACAATATATACTCATGAATTTGTATTCCTTCAAATTTATATCCTCATTCTCTATTTTTATTCCTTCTTCGTTAACAAAATAAACATCAGCCAAGGGTTTAGATTTAGCACAAATCTATTAGCTCAAACAATAAATAGACTAATCTACATGTAAAAATGATCGACTTGTATCATAACCTGAAAATGTTAATACTTGGGCTTGTCTCGTTAGCTAAATTATCATCCCTAATAAATCAGGTTTAATGACATATTGTAGGCAAAAAATCTACCGTAATGAAAATAGGGCCTGATCCCGTGAGGTTGAGGCCACTGACATACCGCTAGACCTGCACACATGAAAGGGCAAGCGTAAAGCTTCCGGAAAATACCGAGGTGGTGTTTACGTAGGCACTCGACGCTCAAGTCAGCAAAGCTGAAGAAGATTATTGATAAGAATTAAGAAGATGAAAGAATTACCAGAGTCTTGTAAGAAGCTAGGACTACAACAGTGTTGGGTTCTTGGGAGCAAGAACTTTAGGAGCAATATATGATTTTGAGTAGTGTATTGACTAGGGAGATTGCATGCCTAATGAGAGGGCAAACCTCTTTTTTTATAGTGAACCCAAGGGATTGGAATCCTAGTAGAATTGAGTCCTCTTTTTTGGGAATAGCCTGTTAAAAAAGAATTATGATTTCTTGACCTTATCAGATTAAGCTTACTAATTTAAATAAGGTTTAGAATCTTAGTAGGACACAAAGTCCTATTTTGGGAGATAATCCCTATCATGAAAGATTATGATTTCTTGACCTTATCAAATCAGTTTAATAGTTTGAGTAAGATTTGGACTCTAGTAGAAGAGGAAATAGAATAGGACTCTGATTTCCTATTTAAGACTGCTGTAGGCAGAAACTGAAACCCAGTTTAGCTTAATTTATAAGATAACCTAACTCATAGAGTAGGTAGGTCGCAAGGTGATTTTAAGCGAGACCCAACATCGGGATTGGGTTGAGGCCTTGGGCTGTGACATGTTTATTTCGTTATTAGCATCGTCAAGCTCAAGACGATTTTTGGCCCTACATATTAACTCAAAATCAAGAATAATCTCTTTCAAAAAATTGACAATTGGAATGATTATTTGGCAAAGATTTAGGTTTTTAAGAATTGGAAGTCATTGGTTAGATACTTCTCTTACATTGCAAGTCATCCATATTCAAAGGTAAATGTTCCTCTACTTGGGCTTGAAGAATTTCTTGACTGCATCCTTTGGCTAGGGGTCAAGAACTGTGGACCGCAATTAACTTAGAATTTTTTTGGATGAGCCCATGATAATTTGATATGCTTATTTTAAGTTTTTGGGCCCAACTTTGAGACTTATATACGTGGCTTTTCAAGTATGAAGGCATTAATCCAAAAAGAATGGACCATACCAAGGGAGAAATTTACTAATTTAGATTAATTTTACCAAGGAACATTACTCCTATTTTGGTGGGAGAGGTAATGATACCCCTAATTTCCACGTTTTTTTGCGAATCTCGTATGAATTGAGTTCAAAATAATATATCTACTTAGTTGGATCCGGGTTAAACTCTTATTCATTAGCGACAAGGGATGTTTATAAACTTCCAATCTAATGGATCTCACGTACTCATAGGTTATGTCAACCCACACCGTTGAGCTAGCACTTCCTATCCATTGGGCCTTGTGTGGTCGTGAGGTCTTCACACTACACGGTTGAGTTGTTAGCTCATTTTGACACCAATTATATTGTTTTGTTAAACTGATTGAATATTATCAATTTTGAATATAATTATATAAATTTGATTTGATGTTTTATATACCATCCTTCATTAAACACGTTTACTGAGTTATCAAACTTAAAAACTGATAGATAAAACTCATTTATAATATCATTGCAAATTATAATATTCCGAAGATAAACGGCCTCACCTTCGAAGGGTGTCCACACATGTGGTGGGTACATGTCCTCTGTCTAAATTAAAACTAAAATTGATGTTTCATTGAATGGATGTGAAAAAAGCTGCCATATGTGCCATGTCCTCAAAGACATTTGTACCATTTGATTCAACGTACCATGGATAAGATTACTATGTTTGTACAAAAATGTAAAATAAAAAATAAAAATAAACCATATACTTCAAGATTTTTGGCCAAAATTTCTATTATCTCAAGAAATTACCACCAATTAAGTATTTGTTTATAATTGGATATTTGTAACATCACTGTTCTATTATTTTGTAGCAAATTTACAACTATTTTTTTATCATTGACATGAATTTTTTTATGGGTTCTCTCATGATTTGTGATGTAATTTTTTTTTTTTTTTACTGCGGTTTATCCCCGAACCTACTTAACACCTTTACAAATCCAATAGATTTATATGTCAAAATTGTGGTACATACCATTGCAGGGCTCGAACACAAGACCTCTTAATAGGGACGTAGCCACACTATAACATATTGGTTCAATTGAACTCACTCAAACTGTGAAAAAAAAATTATATTTTATAGTATTTACAATTTTACTCCACCTAAATTCATATTGATCCCATAAAATTTTATTATAATTTTATTAACTTAAATGTTTTAAACCGAGTCACTAAAAGTTCTAGTTACGTCCCTCCTCTTGAAGATGTAAATTTTTTAAAAACTAAAATAAAAGGTAGAAAATAATTATTATTATTGTGATATGCTATATAAAACATGTGGTATATCTATCTCTCTTGCCCCCTTTGGAGTACAAAGGGCAA